TGAACATGCAAAGTGTTTTCTTCCCTTCCAAATATTCCCATCAATATAGAGTAGTCATTCCTTGTCTCTCATGCGTGAATACTTTGTTTTTGCATGTGAGTATAGTATGAATTCTACTTATGTAAGGCATTCGGCATTCTTTTTATTTAATTATTCCAAAATTATAACTAAAATTCTAAAATTATAAATAGAATATTTTTATTATTTATTTAATATTATTTATATTTAATTAATTCTATTTAATTAATAATTAATTAATATTAATTAGATATATTAATATAGATTTATTAAAATAAATAGTATATTGAGGAAATTTCTAGATTTCACATCTAATTGAATTGTAGAAATATGATAATCTCCTCCAAGAATTTTTAGAAAAAAATCCATCATATTCACATTTTATTTGATCCTTAATTTCTAGTCGAAAGCTAATAATGTATTCCCACTCATCATAAGCCTTCTCCTCACTTAACGGAGTGAAAGGGGCTTTTGTTTTTGCATGTTTTGGGTTTTGCAATCAAACCCAGCTTTGTGTTACTTAGGGAATTTTTAGCAAAACGTTGCAAATAGGGAAAAAAAATTCTTCAAATACTACATAGTGCCCCAAATACTACACTCAAAGTTGTTCTTAGTTTAAACAACTTTAAAAGTTCATCTTAATAAGAGCAATTTCTTCAATAAACATTGGTTCCCATGCAGCTGAACTTCATCTTGGCCTGAACAACGTTTAAAATTCATCTCAGTAAGAGTATTCCTCCAATAAACCTTTCTTCCGTCTAGCTGAAATTCATCTTTGTGAACAACTTTTAAATTTCACCAGCATCTGAACAACTTCTTCACAATCTCTCACCACATAAATATTCCTACATGATGTTAATAATGGTCATATCATTAGAATAATGAGTTAATAATTATATAATGATAATAGTAATAATTAATATTTCTATTAATTAAAAGTGATTAAAGAAAATAAGTAATGATTAAATGTTATAAAATTAATAACAAATAACAATTAAATTGACATGAACAAAATAAGAATTAATTTACCTCACAAATAATGACTCCCCGTGCCACATCTTGGTCTCCTCCGCGCACGCTGTGGCCGTTGTTGTATATTTACTTCTTGAGTTTGATCTAATGTCTCATTTGTCTGCGCAGTTGACGTATTTAAATCAAACCAAGGTGATTCGGCTAAAGAAATTGATTGTCGAGGGGTGACAAATGCTTCATTTGATGGACCACCTTGCTCAAAAGAAGAAGTGTTATATTGATCGATAAATAATGCAGGATCATCAAATAAGGACATGAATGACTGAAATTGAGGAGGATTGGGTGAGTCAGAATGGGATAATGTTGGTGATGATGGCATGTGATGAGGGTAAAAATGAGTTGGATTGGAAGAGGCGATAGGGCTTGATGAGACTGGTATGTTATCAAAATGACTAAAATTTTGAGGCTCTTGTTCATTTAAATTTTCATTTACAATTGGTGGCTGAGTAGACAAGCCCGCCTCGCCGTTTGCTTGGTCTATCTCGAGGAATTTGTGGACGGGGTAGCTCAACTGGTGGTGGAGCTGGTTGAGAATTCATATTAAACCGTTGTTCTCTAACTGCAAGTAAGATGTTACGCTGGTCTCGAGCAACTCTTTCTCGATAATCAATGCAATCAGAGCATGTTGAATGAGAATTAATTGTTAGCCTATATAACTGTTCTGCTATGTCAGCCTGAAATAAATAAAACATTAGGTTTGAAAAAATTTCGTATAAAAGAAAATGATGATATTGATCAGAAAAAACTAAAAAAAACCTTACCACATAGCCAGTATCACCACTAACACGTTGGATCCATCGTCTTGTATGTCTCCAATACCATTGCATGTACTCAGATGTTCGATCAAGTTCACCAAGTGCCAGAGGAGCATCAACAACAGCATGTGGCCATCTATTCCATGCTTCAATGAAGTTTGAGTATTCTTCAGTCCAATTTGTGCTTATTCTGCCACGTAGTTGTATTGTATGGTAATTTCCTAAATGAACAGGCATGACAGGAATAGGTTGTTGACGACCGAATTGCCTTAGTACACGATCAGGGTGATGCCATTCTATAATATGAAAACATATTAGAGGAACTGAAGCAAGCCAAATTTCAGGTGTTGCCAAGCAGTATTCTGGAATCAATTGGCGCACTTCAGAAGATTCATATGGCTGCCAAATTATGTCATCATCCGTCATTCTATCAAGAAGACTCCTATATTGGCGTAAGGATGTGACACTTGGACGAGGATTTTGTCCTACATTTTTCCATCTAGCATTATCAACAACCCAAAAAAGTAGTGTTAAAATTTGTAAAATTTCAATAATAAGTACATATGAAATATTTGTTGTGTGATTTTGGCATACCTGAAACCCAAAGGAGGTAAGAGAGGGTAGATATTAGACTGTGGATCTGGAGATACAGGTTGTTGTGGTGCTAGCGTAGGAAAACGATCCCATGCCCATAAATGTAATAATGATAAGCACCCTCCAATCCCATCTTCAGTTGGATTAGTAGCATTACATAATTCTCTATACAGGTGAGCTAAAACTGCTGAACCCCAACTAAAATTTCCAACTTCTTCCAGATTATAAAGTAGTGGAAGGTACATCAAATACACCCTAGTACACGATCTATCTGGCATGAGATATCCTCCAATCAACCTGAGAATATATGCACGAGTGAATTGTTGAACTTGTACATCGTCTGCATCATCAGGTAAGTGATTAAAGTGCTCTTCCAACCAATTCATAAGTAGTCGTTGTCCAAGTATTCTATCTGCAGGTGGTCTAACCCCTAGAAGCCATTCACAAACATCTTGCCAATTAAAGTCAGTTTTCCCAATGACAGGCATTCCTACACAAGGAAGGCCTAACTGTATAGCAACATCCTCTAATGTTATCGTGCACTCTCCACGTGTAGTATGAAATGTGTGAGTCTCAGGACGCCACCTCTCAATAAGGGCTGAGACCAAACTCCGGTCGTAATCAAATTGCCCTACCCTCGCAACACCATAAAATCCAGCTAATCTAAGATATTCAAGTATCTGATTGGGTGGCTCAATCATTCGATTAGCATGCATGACTCGTCTAGTGTGTAGGATTCGAGAAACCTATAGAGAAAATTTAAAAAAAAGTTAGTATTAAAGCATAGAATTAATAAGTAGTAGTTAAGAGAGATTACTTACATTTTCATTCCAAACTTGTTGCGAAATATGTTGAGTTTGTAAGTACAGAAGTGAGTTATCCTCTGGACCAGGGTTAATGACTTCTTCTGGATATTGTGCCATTTTCAAATATCTAAACACAACATAACAAATAAATATTCACATAATATAAAAAATTACAAAAACCATTTACATTTCATCTTCATATGTATAATTTTCTTTTTACATAAGCAAAATACATAATTTATTGTCTGGATGCCACTCTTTGAGGACAAGTAGAGCGATTATGACCAATTTGTCTACATAATCCACATTTGTTGGGTGGGTTGGGTGTGGTCCAATCCATCTCATTACGTATGCGACTTGAACGAGGACGGCCTTTATCTCTAATCATTGATGGATCAGGTATTAGAGTAGGGCAATCAATTTGCGGCCAGTAAGTCTCATCTCCTATTGGATGAAAGTTGTTACTGTAAGCCATTTGCATGGTTTCTAACCTAAAAACAGGATCAACATATTGCAAATGGTTAATGCCTACTTGTGAGCAAGCTGCAACAGCATGCATACATGGAAACTTTTCTGCTTGAAATTCTCCACAATCACATTTTCTATCAATCAAGTTAACCTTGCAACAACGACGAAATTGACGAAGTTGAATATTGTATGGCTCGATAACCTCAAATGATGTTGATATTCTATCAAACTCTCGAACAACACATCCAGATGCACCTTGTGTTACTATGTCTAACTTCTTTGTTAGTGTCTCAGAAAACACTTGACCAGCTGCAATTTGCGCATGAACTTGTTGGGCACGCTTTACAAAATAGTTGTTAACTCTATACATGGTCGCTTTAACTAAACCAGTTATGGGTAGACTTCGAGCACCTTTGAATACACCATTCATGCACTCTGCAAGGTTAGTTGTCATGTGTCCATAACGTCGACCTTCAACGTCATATGCACGTGACCATTTTTCTTTGGGGATGGCTCCAATCCATCTAGCAGCAGATGCATGTTGCAATACTATCTCTGCTAATTGTTGGTCAACAACATGACGTTCATACGCATACCCTACAAGTAATTATTAACTTATTAAAAATAATCATAAAATTATAAAGTTATTGTATCATTAAAAAACACAAGAAATCTCACCAATATTTATAAATTTCTCTTTTAGCCAATTTGTTCCATGTGCTTTGTGAAGATTAGAGGCCACATGACGTAGACAAAAAACATGATGTGCATGTGGTGGCTGCCATCCATGTTGAGGATCAGAAACTGCAGCCAAAATTGAACGATGTCTGTCTGAAATTAAACAGATTTCTATTCTATCTTTTACAATACAATGACGCACATGGTATAAGAACCATGTCCAAGCTGATCTTGTCTCCCCTTCAACTACCGCAAATGCAAGCGGCACAACATTTCTGTCACCATCTTGTGATATAGCCATTAGTAACGTGCCCTTATACTTTCCATATAAAAATGTTCCATCAACTTGTATAATGGGCTTCAAATGTGGAAATGCATCAATGCATGGCTTGAATGCCCAAAACACACGGCGAAACATTTCAACTGGTTCCCCATTCGCATTGACTTGAGAGCACTGTTTATTTGAAAATTGTACGTATGATCCAGGCATGAAGTGTTGTACTGCGGCTAACCACCTTGGGAGTAAGGAATATGAGATCTCCCAATTCCCGAAAGCAACGGCAATGGCTAATTGTTTTGCATTCCAAGCCTTCTTATATGACACTATATAACCAAACATGGATTGCATCCTCTCTATAATTTGAGATACTTTCACATCTGGCTTATCAGTTACCATTGCTATGATACAAGATGATATAACATCAGCATCTAACTTTGGATGGTCTTGAGTTAGTGATGTGCTTAAGCATGTGTGGGGCCCCCCATATTTTGTAATTTGCCAAAAGTTTCTGTTTTCCTTCTTACAAGCTCTTACTCTCCAATAGCAGCTTTCACCATAGTTAATGCATCGATATTCTTCATACTTGTTACATGAATAATAGACCTTGAATGTGTGATGAACTCGAACAGAGTATAACTTGACCGCACGTCTCAAAACACGAACATTGCTAAACATCTTTCCGATATGTAACTCTTCATTTTGACTGAAAGGTGGAATTTCTTCTAATTCACTGAACTCAGGAGCCATAGCTGACTCAACATTAATATGCGAGAAGAAAGCAGATGCTAGCTCATTATCCTGGTTGATCTCATCATGCTCATCATTATCATCATGATCATTCCCATCACCAATATTTAAATAAGAATCATATTCATCTTCGTCCTCAAATTCATCCATAGTATCTTCCATTTGAGGAACAGAGCAAGATGGCCCATTGTTGATACCATCTTAGGGAAGTTCAAATGGGTGAAGATTTTCCATCTGATCGCTAAACATGGATTCTTCTTCTATAATGTTTAGCTGATTGCTACTTGATGGAAGAGTATTTCCAGCATTTTTGTCCATTAGTTGTGATTCAATATGACCAACATCTTCCAAGTCACCTATATTGGCATACAACTCTGCACATGTTAACTGAGTTGAGAATCGACGATTCACTTGCCACATTTGTTGTACATCCGAATCATCTTCTAGATTGCATGCTTGGTATTGTGGTGGATTTATGCACGTAGGATATCTGTACACTAGATTTGTCACAATTTCATTGGGAGGAAGTTGTAGTTTTCGTCCAATAACTTCCTTCAATCTATCCAATGTAATATTTGGATCAACTTTCACTACTTTCGCTCTATCACACTCAAATGTTGCACCGACCGGGCCATTAAAAATTCGTCCATTTGCAAATATACACACAAACTCTTTTCTATGATCCATTCTGCTTCCTAAATAATACAGTATAATTATTAATTAAACAAAAATGAATTGTAAAACTAATTAACTCCATAATATCATTATTTTTTAATTCAATTATGTATATATATTTTAAAATAAAGTAGTAGAATAATCATTTATTTATAGTTACAAAAATTAGGCTATTTATTAAGAAACTTATTTACATTTTTAAGTAAGATAGTAACTTGTAATATTTTTTAATCAACAACGACTGTGGAACATCAATCATAAAAATATTTAGAATAACTTAAAAATTAATTTCAATTAAAAATAAACGTTACATATTAAAATTTTATTATAACTTCTAATATATCAATATAAAATTAATAATATAAAGTACATATTTCAAATATATTAAATAAATAATTTTCTATTCATTCCATTTTATTCAAAAAAATATTATAATTAAATATTATTAAAAAATTAGCTAAAATCATTACTTCTGTTTTATTATCAAAAAGGATCTTAAAAACTATAAATATTTAGAAGGATTAAATATATTTAAAAACATTAAATTCTCCCACAACTACATTCTTAAATTTTTTCTAACTTATGTTCCATTATTGGATATTTTTAATGACTAAATTAGATAAATATTTGATTAAATAAATTAATTTGAAAATATTTCTTATTCAAAAAAATTGCTTCTGCTTCGTTTTTCTCCCGGTCCCAACTTCATACTTCAAATGTTCAATTTTAATTTATCTATATTATTAAAGAATAATTATATTCCTTTCAACCTCTAATTTCTATATTGCGAATAAATGCTTTTGATGAGATATATACTTTAGTTAACACATAAAGGTAAATTTACATTAAATAATAATAAGTTTATAATAAATGTACTTGTGTAATTTTATATTAGGTACCGTTTAAGTGACCCTAAAAAAACATCCTTATGATTGAAAACAAAAATAAATGTTAATAACTATTTCACACTAGTTATTTAAAAATTATAATTACTTAATATGACGAAACAATTAGCTATTACTGTTGAGTGATTTTTTAAAATTTATAGTTTATTATTTGGTCTATAGGTCCTCCTCTTTAATAAATATTGCTTTCTCTAGGTCCTCCTCTCTAATTTTTCCAAAAAATAAAAAAAAACTCCTTTCTTTCATTATTATTAACCCCATCATCAGTACTCTTTTTATTAGGAAAATTTTGACACCATTTAGTGCTAGCTTTCATTGGCTAGATACAAGACTAGACTAAGCTAACAACTAGGGTTGTCAAACTCACGAGTTTAAGTAAACTCGTGACAGGTATGTAAACTCGAATTTATGAAATTCATACATGAAGTCACTATACATAATCAAATAATAAAATAATTATAAATTTAATAAAAATTATAACTAGGACCACTGATTTGGATTTTCAATATTTTAAAGGTTTTTATAGTTAAATAATTTAACTGTCTTCTACGCATGCTTTGATATAAATTTTACGTAATTGTAACAAAAATAATTTTATCATTGTATATTAAAATTTTATGAGTGGGGAATATTATTCCATCAATTTTTCTTTAAATATTCAAGTATTTTTCATGATGTATTGACTAGCATAGGAGAAGTTTGATTACCATGCTCACCACCAAATATTATCTAACTAGATACATATTTAATCTGACTACATATTTACTCAAACACTATCTACTAAAAAAAAAGATATATATTTAATCAAATTATAAAAAAGTAAACTGTAATTTATTTTATATGACAATTAATTATATGTCTACATTTTTTTAATTAAAACAAACTCAACATGTAAAAATGACTAAATATAAAATTCTTATCCATCATTTAGCAAAATACATATCAAAATTTTAAAAACAAAAATTAATCAAGAGAATGTACCTTAATCAGAAGAAAAATTAAGCCTCAAGTTGAGATAAAACGTATGCAATATTTGCAAGGCCACACACACCACCAACTTCACGTGAAATTGTGGAAAGAGAAAGAAGAACTGAAGGACCTGCAGATAAAATTCAATTCTTCATGCGAAATGCCGTATATATAGAGAAAGAAGAATTGAATTGTATGAAGAATTGAAGTTGAGATAAAACGTATTTACCTACTTCACAGGAATGCCTTACACATAGAGAAAGAAGAATGTGAGAAGTGAAGAGAAGCCTTCTGATGAGTGGGAATGGCGAATAGCTTATATAAATAGAATTCATACTATACACTCACATGCAAAAACAAAATATTCACGCGTGAGAGACATTGAATGACTACCTATATTGATGGGAATATTTGGGGAAGGAAGAAACAATTTGCGTGTGGCTCTGGAAAAGGCAGAAGTAGTGTATGGTCAAAATATGAAAGCTACACGCAAAAGGCAGAAATAGTTTGGGTGAGCCTTCGCTTTTTGGATTGTCTTCTGCCCAATGTCAATGTGGTACCCTCTCGTTTGTTTTTAGTTTCCATTGGCTTTACCTTGTTTACAGGTCGACCCCATGGCAACAAGAAAAAAAAGGCGATCTTGTGCTATACTCCAGTGATCTCTTTCCTACCGAGGCACGCAAACCCCCATCGTGTCTGGTCATGTAATGTAAGGAAAGCTGAAAACGCATAGAAGGCTTTTTTATCCAGACACGACAAACAGTAAAAGTATTTACTCAGATGCTATAAGATCAAAAATATTTACCCAGATACTACACTTAAAATCGTTCAGGCAGTGAACGAGTTTAAATTTATACAGAAGTTGTTCAGGCCAAAAACGACTTCAGTGGGACCCACATCCAAAATATGAAAGTTGTTCTTGGTCTGAACAACTTCAGTGGGGCCCACATCACAAAATAGAAGTTGTTCTTGGTCTGAACAACTTCAGTGGGACCCACTTTGTCTTACATTCTATGCGTTTTCAGCTTTCCTTACATTACATGACCAGACACGATGGGGGTTTGCGTGCCTCGGTAGGAAAGAGATCACTGGAGTATAGCACAAGATCGCCTTTTTTTTCTTGTTGCCATGGGGTCGACCTGTAAACAAGGTAAAGCCAATGGAAACTAAAAACAAACGAGAGGGTACCACATTGACATTGGGCAGAAGACAATCCAAAAAGCGAAGGCTCACCCAAACTATTTCTGCCTTTTGCGTGTAGCTTTCATATTTTGACCATACACTACTTCTGCCTTTTCCAGAGCCACACGCAAATTGTTTCTTCCTTCCCCAAATATTCCCATCAATATAGGTAGTCATTCAATGTCTCTCACGCGTGAATATTTTGTTTTTGCATGTGAGTGTATAGTATGAATTCTATTTATATAAGCTATTCGCCATTCCCACTCATCAGAAGGCTTCTCTTCACTTCTCACATTCTTCTTTCTCTATGTGTAAGGCATTCCTGTGAAGTAGGTAAATACGTTTTATCTCAACTTCAATTCTTCATACAATTCAATTCTTCTTTCTCTATATATACGGCATTTCGCATGAAGAATTGAATTTTATCTGCAGGTCCTTCAGTTCTTCTTTCTCTTTCCACAATTTCACGTGAAGTTGGTGGTGTGTGTGGCCTTGCAAATATTGCATACGTTTTATCTCAACTTGAGGCTTAATTTTTCTTCTGATTAAGGTACATTCTCTTGATTAATTTTTTTTTTTAAATTTTGATATGTATTTTGCTAAATGATGGATAAGAATTTTATATTTAGTCATTTTTACATGTTGAGTTTGTTTTAATTAAAAAAATGTAGACATATAATTAATTGTCATATAAAATAAATTACAGTTTACTTTTTTATAATTTGATTAAATATATATCTTTTTTTTTAGTAGATAGTGTTTGAGTAAATATGTAGTCAGATTAAATATGTATCTAGTTAGATAATATTTGGTGGTGAGCATGGTAATCAAACTTCTCCTATGCTAGTCAATACATCATGAAAAATACTTGAATATTTAAAGAAAAATTGATGGAATAATATTCCCCACTCATAAAATTTTAATATACAATGATAAAATTATTTTTGTTAAAATTACGTAAAATTTATATCAAAGCATGCGTAGAAGACAGTTAAATTATTTAACTATAAAAACCTTTAAAATATTGAAAATCCAAATCAGTGGTCCTAGTTATAATTTTTATTAAATTTATAATTATTTTATTATTTGATTATGTATAGTGACTTCATGTATGAATTTCATAAATTCGAGTTTACATACCTGTCACGAGTTTACTTAAACTCGTGAGTTTGACAACCCTAGTTGTTAGCTTAGTCTAGTCTTGTATCTAGCCAATGAAAGCTAGCACTAAATGGTGTCAAAATTTTCCTAATAAAAAGAGTACTGATGATGGGGTTAATAATAATGAAAGAAAGGAGTTTTTTTTTTTTTTTGGAAAAATTAGAGAGGAGGACCTAGAGAAAGCAATATTTATTAAAGAGGAGGACCTATAGACCAAATAATAAACTATAAATTTTAAAAAATCACTCAACAGTAATAGCTAATTGTTTCGTCATATTAAGTAATTATAATTTTTAAATAACTAGTGTGAAATAGTTATTAACATTTATTTTTGTTTTCAATCATAAGGATGTTTTTTTAGGGTCACTTAAACGGTACCTAATATAAAATTACACAAGTACATTTATTATAAACTTATTATTATTTAATGTAAATTTACCTTTATGTGTTAACTAAAGTATATATCTCATCAAAAGCATTTATTCGCAATATAGAAATTAGAGGTTGAAAGGAATATAATTATTCTTTAATAATATAGATAAATTAAAATTGAACATTTGAAGTATGAAGTTGGGACCGGGAGAAAAACGAAGCAGAGCAATTTTTTTGAATAAGAAATATTTTCAAATTAATTTATTTAATCAAATATTTATCTAATTTAGTCATTAAAAATATCCAATAATGGAACATAAGTTAGAAAAAATTTAAGAATGTAGTTGTGGGAGAATTTAATGTTTTTAAATATATTTAATCCTTCTAAATATTTATAGTTTTTAAGATCCTTTTTGATAATAAAACAGAAGTAATGATTTTAGCTAATTTTTTAATAATATTTAATTATAATATTTTTTTTGAATAAAATGGAATGAATAGAAAATTATTTATTTAATATATTTGAAATATGTACTTTATATTATTAATTTTATATTGATATATTAGAAGTTATAATAAAATTTTAATATGTAACGTTTATTTTTAATTGAAATTAATTTTTAAGTTATTCTAAATATTTTTTATGATTGATGTTCCACAGTCGTTGTTGATTAAAAAATATTACAAGTTACTATCTTACTTAAAAATGTAAATAAGTTTCTTAATAAATAGCCTAATTTTTGTAACTATAAATAAATGATTATTCTACTACTTTATTTTAAAATATATATACATAATTGAATTAAAAAATAATGATATTATGGAGTTAATTTAGTTTTACAATTCATTTTTGTTTAATTAATAATTATACTGTATTATTTAGGAAGCAGAATGGATCATAGAAAAGAGTTTGTGTGTATATTTGCAAATGGACGAATTTTTAATGGCCCGGTCGGTGCAACATTTGAGTGTGATAGAGCGAAAGTAGTGAAAGTTGATCCAAATATTACATTGGATAGATTGAAGGAAGTTATTGGACGAAAACTACAACTTCCTCCCAATGAAATTGTGACAAATCTAGTGTACAGATATCCTACGTGCATAAATCCACCACAATACCAAGCATGCAATCTAGAAGATGATTCGGATGTACAACAAATGTGGCAAGTGAATCGTCGATTCTCAACTCAGTTAACATGTGCAGAGTTGTATGCCAATATAGGTGACTTGGAAGATGTTGGTCATATTGAATCACAACTAATGGACAAAAATGCTGGAAATACTCTTCCATCAAGTAGCAATCAGCTAAACATTATAGAAGAAGAATCCATGTTTAGCGATCAGATGGAAAATCTTCACCCATTTGAACTTCCCCAAGATGGTATCAACAATGGGCCATCTTGCTCTGTTCCTCAAATGGAAGATACTATGGATGAATTTGAGGACGAAGATGAATATGATTCTTATTTAAATATTGGTGATGGGAATGATCATGATGATAATGATGAGCATGATGAGATCAACCAGGATAATGAGCTAGCATCTGCTTTCTTCTCGCATATTAATGTTGAGTCAGCTATGGCTCCTGAGTTCAGTGAATTAGAAGAAATTCCACCTTTCAGTCAAAATGAAGAGTTACATATCGGAAAGATGTTTAGCAATGTTCGTGTTTTGAGACGTGCGGTCAAGTTATACTCTGTTCGAGTTCATCACACATTCAAGGTCTATTATTCATGTAACAAGTATGAAGAATATCGATGCATTAACTATGGTGAAAGCTGCTATTGGAGAGTAAGAGCTTGTAAGAAGGAAAACAGAAACTTTTGGCAAATTACAAAATATGGGGGGCCCCACACATGCTTAAGCACATCACTAACTCAAGACCATCCAAAGTTAGATGCTGATGTTATATCATCTTGTATCATAGCAATGGTAACTGATAAGCCAGATGTGAAAGTATCTCAAATTATAGAGAGGATGCAATCCATGTTTGGTTATATAGTGTCATATAAGAAGGCTTGGAATGCAAAACAATTAGCCATTGCCGTTGCTTTCGGGAATTGGGAGATCTCATATTCCTTACTCCCAAGGTGGTTAGCCGCAGTACAACACTTCATGCCTGGATCATACGTACAATTTTCAAATAAACAGTGCTCTCAAGTCAATGCGAATGGGGAACCAGTTGAAATGTTTCGCCGTGTGTTTTGGGCATTCAAGCCATGCATTGATGCATTTCCACATTTGAAGCCCATTATACAAGTTGATGGAACATTTTTATATGGAAAGTATAAGGGCACGTTACTAATGGCTATATCACAAGATGGTGACAGAAATGTTGTGCCGCTTGCATTTGCGGTAGTTGAAGGGGAGACAAGATCAGCTTGGACATGGTTCTTATACCATGTGCGTCATTGTATTGTAAAAGATAGAATAGAAATCTGTTTAATTTCAGACAGACATCGTTCAATTTTGGCTGCAGTTTCTGATCCTCAACATGGATGGCAGCCACCACATGCACATCATGTTTTTTGTCTACGTCATGTGGCCTCTAATCTTCACAAAGCACATGGAACAAATTGGCTAAAAGAGAAATTTATAAATATTGGTGAGATTTCTTGTGTTTTTTAATGATACAATAACTTTATAATTTTATGATTATTTTTAATAAGTTAATAATTACTTGTAGGGTATGCGTATGAACGTCATGTTGTTGACCAACAATTAGCAGAGATAGTATTGCAACATGCATCTGCTGCTAGATGGATTGGAGCCATCCCCAAAGAAAAATGGTCACGTGCATATGACGTTGAAGGTCGACGTTATGGACACATGACAACTAACCTTGCAGAGTGCATGAATGGTGTATTCAAAGGTGTTCGAAGTCTACCCATAACTGGTTTAGTTAAAGTGACCATGTATAGAGTTAACAACTATTTTGTAAAGCGTGCCCAACAAGTTCATGCGCAAATTGCAGCTGGTCAAGTGTTTTCTGAGACACTAACAAAGAAGTTAGACATAGTAACACAAGGTGCATCTGGATGTGTTGTTCGAGAGTTTGATAGAATATCAACATCATTTGAGGTTATCGAGCCATACAATATTCAACTTCGTCAATTTCGTCGTTGTTGCAAGGTTAACTTGATTGATAGAAAATGTGATTGTGGAGAATTTCAAGCAGAAAAGTTTCCATGTATGCATGCTGTTGCAGCTTGCTCACAAGTAGGCATTAACCATTTGCAATATGTTGATCCTGTTTTTAGGTTAGAAACCATGCAAATGGCTTACAGTAACAACTTTCATCCAATAGGAGATGAGACTTACTGGCCGCAAATTGATTGCCCTACTCTAATACCTGATCCATCAATGATTAGAGATAAAGGCCGTCCTCGTTCAAGTCGCATACGTAATGAGATGGATTGGACCACACCCAACCCACCCAACAAATGTGGATTATGTAGACAAATTGGTCATAATCGCTCTACTTGTCCTCAAAGAGTGGCATCCAGACAATAAATTATGTATTTTGCTTATGTAAAAAGAAAATTATACATATGAAGATGAAATGTAAATGGTTTTTGTAATTTTTTATATTATGTGAATATTTATTTGTTATGTTGTGTTTAGATATTTGAAAATGGCACAATATCCAGAAGAAGTCATTAACCCTGGTCCAGAGGATAACTCACTTCTGTACTTACAAACTCAACATATTTCGCAACAAGTTTGGAATGAAAATGTAAGTAATCTCTCTTAACTACTACTTATTAATTCTATGCTTTAATACTAACTTTTTTTTTAAATTTTCTCTATAGGTTTCTCGAATCCTACACACTAGACGAGTCATGCATGCTAATCGAATGATTGAGCCACCCAATCAGATACTTGAATATCTTAGATTAGCTGGATTTTATGGTGTTGCGAGGGTAGGGCAATTTGATTACGACCGGAGTTTGGTCTCAGCCCTTATTGAGAGGTGGCGTCCTGAGACTCACACATTTCATACTACACGTGGAGAGTGCACGATAACATTAGAGGATGTTGCTATACAGTTAGGCCTTCCTTGTGTAGGAATGCCTGTCATTGGGAAAACTGACTTTAATTGGCAAGATGTTTGTGAATGGCTTCTAGGGGTTAGACCACCTGCAGATAGAATACTTGGACAACGACTACTTATGAATTGGTTGGAAGAGCACTTTAATCACTTACCTGATGATGCAGACGATGTACAAGTTCAACAATTCACTCGTGCATATATTCTCAGGTTGATTGGAGGATATCTCATGCCAGATAGATCGTGTACTAGGGTGTATTTGATGTACCTTCCACTACTTTATAATCTGGAAGAAGTTGGAAATTTTAGTTGGGGTTCAGCAGTTTTAGCTCACCTGTATAGAGAATTATGTAATGCTACTAATCCAACTGAAGATGGGATTGGAGGGTGCTTATCATTATTACATTTATGGGCATGGGATCGTTTTCCTACGCTAGCACCACAACAACCTGTATCTCCAGATCCACAGTCTAATATCTACCCTCTCTTACCTCCTTTGGGTTTCAGGTATGCCAAAATCACACAACAAATATTTCATATGTACTTATTATTGAAATTTTACAAATTTTAACACTACTTTTTTGGGTTGTTGATAATGCTAGATGGAAAAATGTAGGACAAAATCCTCGTCCAAGTGTCACATCCTTACGCCAATATAGGAGTCTTCTTGATAGAATGACGGATGATGACATAATTTGGCAGCCATATGAATCTTCTGAAGTGCGCCAATTGATTCCAGAATACTGCTTGGCAACACCTGAAATTTGGCTTGCTTCAGTTCCTCTAATATGTTTTCATATTATAGAATGGCATCACCCTGATCGTGTACTAAGGCAATTCGGTCGTCAACAACCTATTCCTGTCATGCCTGTTCATTTAGGAAATTACCATACAATACAACTACGTGGCAGAATAAGCACAAATTGGACTGAAGAATACTCAAACTTCATTGAAGCATGGAATAGATGGCCACATGCTGTTGTTGATGCTCCTCTGGCACTTGGTGAACTTGATCGAACATCTGAGTACATGCAATGGTATTGGAGACATACAAGACGATGGATCCAACGTGTTAGTGGTGATACTGGCTATGTGGTAAGGTTTTTTTTAGTTTTTTCTGATCAATATCATCATTTTCTTTTATACGAAAATTTTTTCAAACCTAATGTTTTATTTATTTCAGGCTGACATAGCAGAACAGTTATATAGGCTAACAATTAATTCTCGTTCAACATGCTCTGATTGCATTGATTATCGAGAAAGAGTTGCTCGAGACCAGCGTAACATCTTACTTGCAGTTAGAGAACAACGGTTTAATATGAATTCTCAACCAGCTCCACCACCAGTTGAGCTACCCCGTCCACAAATTCCTCGAGATAGACCAAGCAAACGGCGAGGCGGTTACTTGTCTACTCAGCCACCAATTGTAAATGAAAATTTAAATGAACAAGAGCCTCAAAATTTTAGTCATTTTGATAACATACCAGTCTCATCAAGCCCTATCGCCTCTTCCAATCCAACTCATTTTTACCCTCATCACATGCCATCATCACCAACATTATCCCATTCTGACTCACCCAATCCTCCTCAATTTCAGTCATTCATGTCCTTATTTGATAATCCTGCATTATTTATCGATCAATATAACACTTCTTCTTTTGAGCAAGGTGGTCCATCAAATGAAGCATTTGTCACCCCTCGACAATCAATTTCTTTAGCCGAATCACCTTGGTTTGATTTAAATACGTCAACTGCGCAGACAAATGAGACATTAGATCAAACTCAAGAAGTAAATATACAACAACGGCCACAGCGTGCGCGGAGGAGACCAAGATGTGGCACGGGGAGTCATTATTTGTGAGGTAAATTAATTCTTATTTTTGTTCATGTCAATTTAATTGTTATTTGTTATTAATTTTATAACATTTAATCATTACTTATTTTCTTTAATCACTTTTTAATTAATAGAATATTAATTATTACTATTATCATTATATAATTATTAACTCATTATTCTAATGATATGACCATTATTAACATCACTGTAGGAATATTTATGTGGTGAGAGATTGTGAAGAAGTTGTTCAGATGCTGGTGAAATTTAAAAGTTGTTCACACTAAGATGAATTTCAGCTAGACGGAAGAAAAGGTTTATTGGAGGAATTACTCTTACTGAGATGAATTTTAAACGTTGTTCAGGCCAAGATGAAGTTCAGCTGCATGGGAACCAATGTTTATTGAAGAAATTGCTCTTATTAAGATGAACTTTTAAAGTTGTTTAAACTAAGAACAACTTTGAGTGTAGTATTTGGGGCCCACTATGTAGTATTTGAAGAATTTTTTTTCCCTATTTGCAACGTTTTGCTAAAAATTCCCTAAGTAACACAAAGCTGGGTTTGATTGCAAAACCCAAAACATGCAAAACAAAAGCCCCTTTCACTCCGTTAAGTGAGGAGAAGGCTTATGATGAGTGGGAATACATTATTAGCTTTCGACTAGAAATTAAGGATCAAATAAAATGTGAATCTGATGGATTTTTTTCTAAAAATTCTTGGAGGAGATTATCATATTTCTACAATTCAATTAGATGTGAAATCTAGAAATTTCCTCAATATACTATTTATTTTTAATAAATCTATATTAATATATCTAATTAATATTAATTAATTATTAATTAAATAGAATTAATTAAATATAAATAATATTAAATAAATAATAAAAATATTCTATTTATAATTTTAGAATTTTAGTTATAATTTTGGAATAATTAAATAAAAAGAATGCCGAATGCCTTACATAAGTAGAATTCATACTATACACTCACATGCAAAAACAAAGTATTCACGCATGAGAGACAAGGAATGACTACTCTATATTGATGGGAATATTTGGGAAGGGAAGAAACACTTTGCATGGGGCTGGAAAAGGCAGAAACAAAATACGAAAGCTGAAAACGCATGGAGTGTAAGACAAATAGTGGGTCCCACTGAAGTTGTTCAGACCAAGAACAACTTCCATTTTGTGATGTGGGTCCCACTGAAGTTGTTCAGACCAAGAACAACTTTCATATTTTGGATGTGGGTCCCACTGAAGTCGTTTTTAGTCTGAACAACTTCTGTATAAATTTAAACTCGTTCACTGCCTGAACGATTTTAAGTGTAGTATCTGAGTAAATATTTTTGATCTTATAGCATCTGAGTAAATACTTTTACTGTTTGTCGTGTCTTGATAAAAAAGCCCAGGTAATTATGTCTTTTGATTAAGTAGTGTGTTACTTTACAGCAAGTAGGGGAGTTGTTTTTGACAGATGTTACATGCTTTTTGCTTGATTCGTAATTACTTGTTTCATTTGTTATCAAACACATCTTCTGAAATCAGATCAAAAAAAAAAAAACACATCTTCTGAAATGATTTCATAGGAATTTTGAAAAGAGAATGAGAAAGAATTAATACATGCATGGGATCCACTTATGTGATATTCATATGGTAGGTATCATATAGAAGTAATTTTCATATCCTCTCCTACATTTCATATAAAATAAATTTAAAAAATCTCAATTTTCACGACCGACAACATCTTGTGCATGAGCAATGAACCGTTACTTTTTTATTTGTTCAAGACTCTTAATTTGATGGGAGAGAATTAGCTTCTTGTAGAGGCCATTTAATTTACAGATTACGACAACTAAGGGCTTTTCAAAAAGAGCTATAGGTACCTGCCATCAATAATATTGCTAAAGTTTTAGATGCATTAGAAAGTCTGTAACTTTGTTGGGACAAAAACATACAACGAAGTTACAGCATAACTTTGTTGGGACAAAAACATACAACGAAGTCACAACATGTCAAATGACTTTGATAGAGGCTTTAATTAATTTTGTTCAAGCGATTATTCCTTTAATCATCCTTCAGCTAACGATATTTGATCACATTGTTTTATAAATATTCTTTCGATCATATATGTTCTTGTACAAATTTAATTATGGGCACGCTGATCAGATTGCTTTGTGAGGCTTACTGCATGGACGCTGATGTTATAATTCTTAACATTTTTCCTATGGGGTGAAGGAGATATTATGATTTCAGACATATCCTAATCCCAATATTTATTTTAATAACTTAAATAATGAAATATTCTGAGCATAACCTGTCATTTGTCAACCTGTTTGATTAGTCTGAAGCATAGTTAAAAAAACTGATCGAACCAGTCGGTTTAATCAGAAAACCGGTGAACTGGCTAGTAGTATGGTTTAGTTTGAAAGCTGAACCGATATCAAGCTGGTATGAACTAGTATCAAACTGGTATGAACCAGTAATAAACCATTTTGAATGATTATGTTAGTTTTGGTTTTATTTTTTCTTATTAAGTTCTTAATGTCTCAGTCACTATAAATTTAAATGAATTTTAATGATAATTTTGGCATCAATAATTATTAATTTTAGTTATTGAGAAATTGTAAAGATCAAAATTCTCAATATTATTATAATTTGTTATTGTTACAGTTAAACTATAGTTGTATTTTCTTGTATTTTGTTATTAGTTATTATTAATGTTGTTATATTTTGTTATTTTTAATTAAATTATATTATTTTAATATGATCAGTTTGATCCCAAGTTAATCTTGGTCTGACCCACTAATCCTTGAACTATTATCTCGATCGGTTTAGTGCCTGGTCCGGTTTTTGTTCCTTAGTCTCAATTTAATGTTTTTTTTAACCATCAAATTTAAGGTAAACTCAATGGCATTTAATTAAGTTTATAATATATGATAGCTAGGTTGTTAAATAAAGAGATTGATTAAGAATAACAATACAATATGCTTTTATGTTCTCTTTAATGAAAGCGTTTTCTTTCTAGTGACGATAGAATTCTCAATTACCTTCAGACTGGGATATTCATCTAATTCGTCTTCTTCCTATTTATCTTTATTCTTTTGGTTCTCTATTTAGCTCGAGATATTTAGAGGGTTTCAGGTCCACCACCATGGATGCAACACGCATATTATTTTCTGTGGTGATAAACTTGGAATACGCATGCCCTCCATTCAAGGCCTCTGAAAATTGTTAGATTATGAAGTCTTCCAAGTGTCCCATATTTATGAAGAATAAAAGACAATTAATGGAAATTAAAGAAGAAAAAGAACAATGCGTATGTGTAACATAATACTACCTCCGGTTCTAATTATAAGAGCTAGTTGACTAATTTGAGAAGATTAAAGAAAGAAGTTAAGTTAGTTATTTGTAATAAATATATATTATCTTTCCTAAAATATCCTTGCTAATCAAGTGTATTGGCTATAACTACTATTGTTAGAATAATTACCTCGGAAAGAAATATACAAATATGAGAGACAAAGTGGATTGAAGTCTTATATTTAGAATCAAAATAAAAATCAAACAAAATCTTATATTAAGAACTGAAAGTAGTATTAAATGTGGTAAGGTCCTGGCGCATATTATAGTTGGTGATAGAGATATGAATTAAAAAGAGGGATGATAAAGTCAGAGGGAGGACCAGGCGTGGTAGAAGTTGGGATATAGTTGGGAGGAGAAGGAGAGGCTCTCATGAGAAGGCAGAAGATAGACATGACTGAGCTCTCACAATAATGATATCGAGAAGAAGAGAATTATATTGCAGAAGCAATTGAAGATGAAGAAGAAAGTGGTCCTGCCCTGTGTTTGTGAGGGAGAGAGCAGAATGCAGCTTTTGAGAGGCTTGATTTTGTGGACCCCTCTATCTACCCCCATAGGTCCAGCCACTATGTTGTCTAGGAATATTCTTGTCTTTTCCCTTTCTCATTTTCTCCCAAAACCATAATTTCTCTTCTTTTCTCCTTCACTGATTTGTAATATCAATTTCAAGCCACAAGAATGCCACAAATTGGGCACACCCATAAATTGACTAGGATTATACCACTTTTTTTTTATTTAGATAAAGTAGTATCAGTCCCTTCTGGGACATCCGATAAAATAGTATCAGTATATTCATCTTATTTTTTTTAGTAGCATCTAATATTCTAATTTTATTACAGTATATTCAGTATCTTGATATTACTTTTTAGTTGTCTCTAGTATCTTAATCTTATTTGTAATTTAAGGTACTAGAAGTACTAGAAAAATAATGTCAAGGTAGTGGATACATCATCAATTAAATTAGGATGCTAAATGGTAGATGCAATTGGAAAAAAAAACACATCAAAATGCTTGGTACAACTTATTTTTTTTATCACTTTTTATTTGATATTTTTGAAACTAGCTCCTCTTACTTATGTGCGTGTATAAAGCATGTGTTTTGTCATTCATTTATTTTCAATCACATAAACTAACATTTTATATAATATGAGGCCGGTTTTATTTTAATGTGGCAGTCCGGGCAATTAAGTAATTTTATTTTCTCAAAACTAAATATCGTATAAGAAATCAATTTATTTAAAAAAAAAAATCAGTGCCGCGAGAATTGGACTGATTTGGCACCAGTTTGAGAATTCTTTAAAAAAAAAAAACACTTTCTCATCTCTAAAAATAAAAATCCTTTGCATATTTATCTTGTGAAGTATAAAATCACTTTCTCATAAATAATCCAGAGATATTAGTCAGAATTTCTAAACCACCGTCCGTTTGCAGCCTTTTGATTGCTCGACTGTTTATAAAAACCTGGCATTTTGACATTGGAGCCATCCAACACAAATTTTGTCTTTATTCATGTCTTCTTTTCTTTTTTTTTTTCAACAAGTGATTTACATTTGAGTGTTATGAACGTATCTCCTGGCATTCTTCATCTATAAAGTTCAAATCCTTAATGGCTACTGGTCCAAAGAAAAAATCCTCAATGGCCAAAAAGAAAAAGAGGTTCGGATCCTTGACTTCACTCAAGGGATAATATTTTATTTCCTCCACTCAACTTAATTGAACATCCTTAGTGGAATTAAAGTTTTGACACATTTACTAATTAATGGATTATATATCACTTATTTGCTTAGTCAAGCCAGTGCTTAGCCTAATCTTACTCTGTCCCGATGCATAAAGGTTGAGCACTGCCTCCAAACTCAGTATTGATTAACAACCTAGTGCTTAAGCTTTGATCAATCAAATTTTTTCAATGTTTTTTATTATTATAAGTATTTCTACTTAAGATAACATTAAAAAAAACATGCAATTAGTGACAGAGTTTAACGAAGAAATTTTATTTCATTGCTAATGCGTCACAAATTTTGTCACTAAAATTAACAATGGAATTTACTGACGAAAGATTTTCATCGCTAAATTAGGATGAAATTTTATTGCCCCACTAAATTCCATCACAAATCTATCGTTGAATCTGTTGTAAAAAGATTAGTGACGGAAATTAGTGAAGAAACTATTCCGTTACTAATTCGTATTATGTGATGAAATTAATGATAAATTTTTTTGTTACTAATTTTCTTTACAATTTCATCATAAATCCATCATAAAAAATATAGTATAAATGTATAACAATTATTTTTTAATATTTATTATTAAAATAAAAATATAATATATCATAATTTTTAAATAATGTATTGTATAACAACAACAAAAATACAAATATTATAAAAGAAAATAAAAAAAAATATATAACATACTTATTATTCGTTAAATATTTGAATAAAAATATTAATTATTAGATATTTTTACTGAAATACAAAAATTAAATTGGAATAAATAATAATATATTAAATTATATATAATATTGATTATATATATTTATATTTTTATTAGAAATATTATATATTTATTTTTGTATAAAATTTTGTAAGTATTTCTCAACTCAATTGACAAAAGTTTCAGCATGTGTGCAAAAGGTTTTAGGCTCAATTTGTGACGTGGTGATGACGCAGACAAGGCGATGACCTGGCAGCTCATAAAGATAGACACATGGTGATGACATGGATGGGGGGATGGTATGGCTGCATGCGAGGGAAAGAAGGAGGTGAGGTGGTAGTTGGTGATGATGTTGCAACTCACAGGGATGGATAAGTGGCGATGATGTGGACGAGTAGATAATGTGGCGACATGAGAGAGAGAGGTGAAGGTGAGGTGGCGGCCAATGAGGAGGGGGCGACAATCAGCAGTTGGCACATTTTATTTTAAATTTACAAAATAAAAAAAATTTAGCAACGGATTAGTGATAAAAAATTTTGTCACCAATTTGTGACAAAATTTTGCATCACTAATCCGTTATTATTTTGTGACAGAATTTATGTTAGATATCCGTCACTGATTAATGACAAATCAATGATGAAAAATTTTCGTCACTCATTTCTGTTGCCAATCCGTCACTAATTTTGAATTCCCTCACTAAATAATTAGTGACGATAAGATTAGTAACCAAAAAAATTCCATCGCTAATTCTATCGCTAATTAAATTTCGTCACTAATTTGTTGTTAATTTTAATTAGTAATAAAAATTTTATCACTAAATTCCGTCATTAATTTGCTATTTTTTTGTAGTGTAGTTTCCACAAAACTAAAAATATATTAAATTAAGGCTTAATATCATCTTTAGCTTCTAATATTTGATATCATTTTAGTTTTAATCCCTAAAATTTGAAATTGGTGGTTTTGGTCTATCAAACCTTTTCTAAAATGTATCAAGAACCAAAATATTATTATTTTAGAGACCAAAAATTTTCAGATGGACCAAAATGAATTCAAATTTTGAAAATCAAAATTATTTTTAAATTTCAGGAACCAAATTAAAAGTTAGGTGATATGCAAGGGATTAAAGATAATATTAAACCTTAAATTAAATACCAAGAAGTAGGGAAAAAAGAAGAATGCTTTTCCTTCTGGACTGGAAAAATGAGAAAACGTACGCCCTAAATCCAATTAATAAGAATAACAATAATAATAATAATTAAGGTCGTACAGAGTAATAAAGGTCAAAAAATATCCTCGATCGTAGGAAATTTTATCACGTATCTTTCTATGACTTTTCTTAACTCTGGATAGATGAGCATATTGTCATGCGCTGTGAAAAATGTCTATATATCATGTTTCGCATTTTATTGAATATGTTAATAACACACTCATAAATAGTGTATTTAAATCTGTTAACAGAAAAAATAAATTTTGTTAATTTTGAGTGCTTCAAGGTTGCAAATATTTATTTTGAATACTACCTGTTTGCTTCCGGTCAAAAAATAATATCTGTTTGCTATTAGGTTACTAGCCAAAAATATGAAAAATTAAATTAAACACAAAGAAAATATGCCCAAGTGATTTCTAAATTTCTTATAACACATAGAATACAAAAATCTAGTGAAAAAGTTGGCAAAATGTATAGTTTTTCCGGCCAAAAGCAAATTATATATTGAAAAAATTGTAAAAATTTAGGAAATGACATTGTGGTCATTAAAGATAATATAATTGTGAACGTAGTCAAAATCTTTTCCAGAAAAAAAATCTTATAAATGTGCTTTTCATTTTTCATCCATTCATTTCTAAAATACACTATATGCAGTCAACTTTTGAAACGAGAAATTCATGTTCATTGTATTTTGCATAAATTTTGAGGAGTAGTAATTATTCAGAGTTTATAAATAATTTGACTTAATTCCATATTAAATATCAAAATAAGTATGTCTTGCCTATTATATCAAGGAATGAAACATACTCCTCCGGTCCTTATTATAAGACCCCATTTGACTTTTTATTTGGTCCTAATTATAAGACCCTAATCCATTTTGTCTCTTATATTTATGCATTTTTTCCAAGATAATCCTTCTAATAATGATAGTTTTAGCCAATATACTTAATTAGCGAGGATATTTTAGGAATGACAACACTTATTTATTATAAATAACCAACTTAACTTACTTCCTTAATCTCCTCAAATAAGTCAATTGGGTCTTATAATTAGGACCGGAGGAGTATTAAAAAAATATTTTGTTACATATTTTATATTTTATATTAAATTTTACATCAATGATGAATAGATAGGAGTAAGATAAAATTGGGAAAAAATCTCCGTTAGAAATTTTACTGAAAAGAATGACTGGAATCAGTACGCTGGTACTCTATGTATACACAGATTTACAGGGTATTAATCCTACCTTTCATTCTTACTATAAAAACTATTTGAGAGTTAAATTTAGTTCTAAATATAAAATATCAATTTACTTGGTTTTTTGTTTTTTTAAAATATTCATATTGATGGTAAGGGATTCTTATTAAAGATAATTTCAATATGCACAAGATTGAAAAAGATAGTTCAAAGAGACTAACTCACATTTGTGACATATAACTGACTTAATAAATTTTTAATAAATTTAAATTAATTATTTAGTTCTTATATTAAGGAGTATTTTATATGAATAAAACATATAAAATCTTTTTCCCCCTCAATTTTCCTAGTGATAATAAGAGAAGTTAGAAAAGTAAAAGTAGGACAGTAACAAATATATTAATTAATTTAAAAGGAAATTAGTAGTTGGAAAAAAAGGAAAAATAAATTGAAACTAACAAGCACTGTGAACTGAGAATAATAGCTGCGTTCATAAGTGTTTTTCATGGCAACAAGTAGCTCGCGGCAAGCCTTTTGCAGGAAAATAGAGTAGCCAGTGAGCATATATATTAAAATCTCTAACAATACAATGAAAAATAATGAGGAAGATTCCCCCTAATGGGAGAATTAATTTTCCAATAATTCTTGAAATCTTAAATATAATAAGAATTGTATCAAAAATATTATAATAAAATATATATAGATATGAAAAAATATTATAATAAGAATAATCTAAACGTTCTTATTTTATCAAAATTATTTTTTCTTACAAAATTCATTCTCAGAATAACTTTTTTATTAGTTTTGGTTAGAAACTACTTTCTAAAAGTTTATCCAAATACCTCTTATTTAATATTAAATTCACAGACTATTAAACAATTAACTTGCTAAACTGATTTTTTTTTTTTCCGCCATCAACTGATGGAGCATTCATGAAGAATTTTACCAACGTAATTAGCCACCATGAAGGATGGGCTCAAATCAAATCAAAAGAATACAAGGATAACTAGATAGAAGCTTGAGGATGGCAAGTAATAACAGCAAGGAGGATAAAAACACAAATAACCCAACTGGGACTGGGCACCGAAACAGGGCACGCGAGGAAGTGAGCAGCTTTTCGCTGGGACCTTTTGCTCGTGCCCTTGTAACTTGTTACCACATATTTAATATATATATATATATATATATATATATATAAATACACACACCAGTTGTTGAGTTAGATTTTAATATTATATATAAAACTTATTTATTATATTTATTAATATTTTTTAAATTATTTTTTATTGATACTCTCTGCATCATAATCAAGCAGGAGAGGGAGGAAGATATTAAGATAATAATGATACTATCTCCGATCTTTAATGAAAGAGTTAGTTTAATTTGATTAGATTAAGAAAGTTTGATGAGTTAGTTACTTAAAATAAATAGACGTTATCTTCTTTAAAATATTTTTACTGATCATATATATTATATTGAGTTACCATTTGATAACATTTAACATGTCTAACTATTATAAGAATTACATTAAGAAAAATAGATAAATATAAAAAACAAAACAGATTGAGGTTTTATAATTAAAACTAAATTAAAAATTAAATTAGGTCTTATATTAAGAATTGAAGGTAATATTTTAAAAAAATATATTATATTTTTATAATTAACTTATTTAAGTTTTTTTATAATTAGTTAAATAAGTAGAAAGGAGGGCTGAGTGTATATATATCTTCATCTAACACCATCCCCGAAATGAACAGTGAATGTACGCTCACGCTAGCTTTACTGTCTTCAAAGATCTAGCTTCCAAGTTTCCAACTAAATCTTTCGATGACTGACATAATCTCCCGCCTGATTCCATAAAGAATCAACCTTCATTCTTCTTTCCCCCTCGAAATCCTCTGTCGCTGTTTCCAACCAGAACTCCATATTTCCCTCTCTTGTTTGTATTCTTTACAAATCATTTTCTGTTTCCATATTTGAGGCTTCGCAAGAATCTATACTCTGCTCCAGACTCTCTCGGAACTTTTCTTTTCCTCTGTTACTCTTTTCTCAGGACATGAGATTTGCATTACAGAGCCACTTCTTCTCCAACCACACCTTTGATTGGAAGCTTTGTGTTTCCTCTGTCTGAGGTCTAGTGCTTTTGTTGGCAGGTGTTCAATGAGAAAAGCGGTCAAGAAGCTTACGCCCCATTTACTTCAGTTTCAATACATGCCTATTTTCTGATACGGTAACGGTACTACGGTCTTCCTCCTCCTCTGCTTCTATCTTTTTCCTACTCTGTTCTGTGGCGGGGGGGCATGGCAAAACTTCCCAATATGTTGTCTTTGTGGAACTTGTTGGTGTTGTCACTGGCTTTAAATGTGAGTTTGATCCTGAGAATGGTGTACGAGAGAGAACAAGGCTACAAAGGCTCTTCTTGCTTCAAGAAGCAGGGAGATGGGCATGTCTTTCATGAGGCAAGTTTAACCATATCCTCCTCCTCCTCCTCGTCTTCGTCTTCCAATTTGGCTAATTCTTCTTGTCCCAATCATCCACAAGGCAGCGAAAGAGTGATCAATCTGGACCAGTAAGTACAATAAAGATCGTTTCTACTATATTGGTTTCCTTAATTCCAGAACCCGTTTCGTTTAGTTTTAAAAGGTACTCTGCTGATCTACCGGTGCTCCAACAAACGACATGTCCGGTTCTGTTTTCATGATTAAATCATCATTTTATATCTTATTACTGTTGTTATTACTAATCATCAGCATTATCATCAGTATCAGGTTCAGGGTCAATTTCTGGGTCTGTGCTAGCTAGGGGCCTAGGTGGCTTTTATGTTATCGCTTACGTCTTCAGTGTACTGTGCCGTGCTCTGCCTCTTCCTGCTCTAGTTCTTGGTGAAGACAAGGACAAGTCACGGCTTTAATTTCGATACATCTTTAACTTGGGAATTATGAAGAAGTTCTGACCCATTCGATTTTTATAAAATAACGCATCATTATGTCATCTGTTTGTCTGTTCCCGTCTTCCCGAGTCATAGGGTTGGGGGAAATTGGTTGGGAATTAATGGGCGAGCACTCACGGGCACTACACACAAGTGCTTGTGCTAGCTTAGACCCTAACGTAGCACCAAGCACAGCACCACCATGGGCGGTGCTTATTCACATTTCAATATTTTGGAATTTGGGTTTTTGGGTCGAGTTATTATTCCTATCATATGGAGACTTGTGTATATAATAAACAAGTTAGTAATTTTGAACATCTAGTTTTGTTGAAGAAGGAATTCTAGAGGGGTTTGGTGGGGGCCATGTGCATGAACACACCCTTTTCGGCCATTGTTATGACCTTAAAGACTAGTTACTTAAGTGCGCCTTGGGGTTGTCGTCGGCGTCCCAATTGTGATTTGCACTCAGTTGTGGCTTTCTATGTGTCCTTTTGCGCGTTCCTTTTCCTGTCCCCTTTTTTTTTCCTCCTCATAAGGGTCGTCCGGATTTGCCACTTTGTGGGTCCAAAGGCTATTCATACTTTCTCTGTGCATCCCACAGCCGTTGATATCATGTCTCTATCTAATCATTTGTTTCGATTATACACAGAGAGATCTGCTTTGCTTTTTTTTTTTTTTCCTTCCTTTTTTTGGGGGTTCATCCTCTTTCTTTATTCCCATGCCCTTGTGCCCATACTGTCCTTTAACAACATTTTGACAATTTCTCATAGTAATACAGTATCTTCCCTCCCTTGTCCCACCATTCTTTCATAATTGTTGCAATCTACTCTGCTTTTTTCAAAATTTTCTACCAGAGACCATCGTTTTTTAGGGCAAAGATTGTACTGAGCCGTAGGACCACCTTGTTTCAGCTCATACTGTGCCCGCCTCATCGTAATTTCAATTGGACGCATGGTACGGTTATTGCATAGTGCATATCATATGCTCGATAAAAATTCAAAACCGGGTAGACTCTCATACACACACACACGCATGTCAATTATTTAATTCAATTCAATGTTATAATTTTGAAAATATTGTTGCCTCGTGTTCTACATTGTTTAATGATCTGCATACGACTTCAAGATGTTGACTTGGCGAGCTGATTTATGCAGCGGAGATCCGACAGTTTATGAGACATTTTGGCGGAAAATGGGTGACAAGACCACGATTACAATCCCAGGATGGCAATCCATGAGCTATTTTTCCGATGCCTCCAACATTTGTTGGTTTATGGAGCCTGAGTTAGCGAAGGAGGTGGTAAGGCTGCACAATGTGGTTGGCAATGCCGTCACAGAAGGTCGCCATATTGTAGTTGGGACAGGTTCTTCTCAGCTCTTTCTGGCTGCTCTTTATGCTCTGTCTCCTCCTGATGCAGCTGAACCAATAAGCGTTGTATCCGCCGCGCCATATTACTCGGTGAGTAGACCTCAAAGTTGACTTTAGTTTCATAAACTAAGATAGATACCGTGTGAGCTATTAACTACTCAATGGACTTCATAAACTAAGATTGATACCATGTGAGGTATTAACTACTCATTAGATTTAACTTCCGCGAGATGCACGGGTTTCTTCATTAGCGAAGAGAAATATGAAGAGGAAATGCGGTGGTTTATAACTTATTTTGGTGCTGATTAGGGAATCTAAGCAAAGTGATGATGGCGATTTACTATAAGTAAATATCTTCTTGTGGAATATGGAAAAGTAATTATTTAGTATAGTGGGCAGGGGATTGCATAGCTTTAAATTTATTCCCCACTTCGAGACTGGGAGATTTTTTTAATGAAAAGGAAGGAGAAAAGATAGGCATGTTGTGAGAGGGGCACATATTAATTGTGGAATGCGACTTGTTCCTGACTTCTGCCATATCTTGTGTATCTGCATCCAGTGATAAATTTTCTGCGTCCTTGTGCATCCTCAACTTTCTGGTTGTTTGTCTCCATTAATGTCTGTCTATCTGCCACATATGCACACTTGCATACCTGCACCTGACCATCACATGGATGCTTATGATGACCATTGGCATGTGCTTAGCTGACAGAGAATTTTTTCCCCTCAACACTTTTTGGGAAAATTTTGCGTACTTGAATTTAAAAAGTGGGGTCTTTTGTTTCACTCTTCAAGAAAAGTAAAAAGGAACAAAAGAATACAACTACTACTGATATTATTGACAAACAAAGCAGGAATGCATATATATTCTGAGAATTTAAAGCAAATGATTTTGAGCGGCTCTAAGTTTTAGTTGTGATGGGTTGCAACTCGCAACACTGCAGATTGTTCATACTGTTCAAGATTGGAAAGAAATTAGTCACCTGTCAGTACTCAATAATTTGATATATGACGTATGCACGCTTCAACAAAGAGCTGCATTTGTGTCAGTGTCCGCTTCTTAAAGTTTGATCTATAAATGGCATAGGCTTTATTGCAGGCTATAGACATTTTAACTGATATTAATGGTGGTTTAGGACTGAATTGATGAAGAATTTACTTGCAGTCATACCCTTCAATGACTGATTACCAGAAGTCAGGACTGTACAAATGGGCTGGCGATGCAGATAGTTTTGACAAAGAAGGACCCTACATTGAGCTTGTTACTTCCCCAAACAACCCTGATGGATATGTGAGACGCTCTGTGGTGAACCGAAGCGAAGGATTATTGGTTCATGACCTTGCCTATTACTGGCCACAATATACTCCCATCTCTTCCCCTGCAGATCATGACCTAACTCTTTTCACGGTCTCTAAAAGCACTGGCCATGCTGGAATGCGAATAGGGTAATTTCATAAATAAGAGAAAAACTCCATTTTGGTCCTTGACAGACAGATAGTTCCGTTTTCAAGTCCCTCAAATACCACTACTTGCAATATTTTCTTTTTTATTGTTCTATCCTCATCCAAAATTAAATGTCAGACCTAACAATATGCTCACCAGACCGGTGAGACTTTGCATTTGAGAGATCCTGGGTTCAAGATGCTGGGCGTGCATACATTGGGATATTTAATATATTGTTAAATTTTGGAGGATTAGAAAATGGAAATGTTAATAATTCAGGCGCTGAATTGATATATCTGTCTGGGACCAAAATAGTAGTTTTTGTTTCTAGACAAGAATATACACCTTAAGCACTATACCCTGTATTTGTCCCTTAAAAAATTTCACTTGATGCTGTTGTAGGTGGGCACTTGTGAGAGACCAAGAGGTAGCGAAGAAAATGACTAAATTTATAGAGCTAAATACAATAGGCGTGTCAAAGGATTCGCAGCTGAGAGCCGCCAAGGTTTTAAGGGCAGTGTCCGATAGCTGCGAGCAAGAAAGAAGCTCCCAAGGGGTAGAGTCATTCTTCAAGTTCAGCTACAACCTTATGTCTCAGAGGTGGAAGCAGCTCAGAACAGTAGTTGAACGCAGCGGGATGTTCAGTCTGCCAAGCTTTTCTCCTGCTTTCTGCACCTTCTTCACTCAGGTCCTTGAACCTCAACCTGGTAATGAACAAATCCACGAACCCGTGAACTTCAATCCCAAGATGTGCATGTTCTGTTTTTTAATCTGTAAGACTCTCTTTTTGCAGCTTTCGTGTGGTTGAAGTGTGAGAGGGATATAGAGGACTGTGAGAGTTTTCTTCGAGGGCACAAGATCTTAACTAGAAGTGGGAGGCATTTTGGGGTTTGCCCCAAATACGTGAGAATTAGCATGTTGGACACAGATGAAAATTTCATGCGGTTTTTAGACAGATTATCTGCCATACGGTCATGAATCAAACAAAGAGACGCAAGTGTTTGCAGCTAGGGAGCAGGATTGGATTATTTATGTGGAAGTAGGGAGCTCAGGAGCACAGTTTTGTTGAGCCATGGAGGAAGGAACGTGCTTCGTATATATCTACGAGCCTTGGGTTTCATCTTTTGCCACAACAGCATTAATTTATTAGCCATCTTGGTGCTTATCTGTGCGGTTGATTGGCCAAATCCATTGTGTTTTCATTGGTACTTGAGAAAGAATGAAAGAGGCAGACATTTTTTGTGCAATCCTGTAGAGAGAGAGAGACAGAGAGAGGAGAGAGAGAATTTCAACCACCAATGTCTTGGGACATTCGAAGGTCATGAGCATGATGACATTGGATGGTGCAATTAATTAGAGTTTCATGACCTCTGTTTAATTAACGTCCATCTACCACTTTCTGGTTTCAGTTTATGAGCGTGTCATGTGCGCATGTAAAAAACGTATAAACACTTAGAGGTGGAAATAGATCAGGTGACCAGTCAGGAGTTTGTGACCTGGCCTATAAATGGTTTGGCTTAACCTGAGCTATTCAGGGTGTATTTGGATTGACATTGGGTTATTTAAGGTGTATTTTATGTATTTTTTTAAAACTATTACCACATTAAAGACAAAATTTCAAACACTACTATTCAATAAAGTTTATGCTTTGATAGTCATTTTGTAACTAAACTAACTTTTTTATTAATCATCCAAATAATTTTTAACTTTTTTAACTGACTTTTTTAAAGCACATTGTAGATAATTAATTATATATATAATGGAAAAACATAAATATAAATTAAAATTTATTTGGTCTGAATAAAAGCTCATTATGTAACAAAGGAGATGAGACAGAGGGGAAAATGTGAGGGTAAATCTGGGATTCTCATTTTTAATGATCACCATTTGAAATTATAGTTTGAAAAGTCAGATTTTCCTTCGTTGAGTCCAACTGAGGTTGAAGGCCAGAAGTTGGTTGGAAAAGTTAGCCTAACAAAACAATGTTTTTATTCAACTCAGTTTGCAACCTTAGTTTCACCATTGCCAAGACACTTTTGCCATTGGAAACAACAATCCAAACATGCATTAGATATCAGAACAGGCTCAGGTTTATAAAAATGCCTGTTTACTTTATCAAGCTAAGCTCAGACCTGATAATAAGCCTATTAGGCCTGTCAAGCGGCTTGTGCCTGTTATCTTTTTTTTTTTACGTTAAAATTATAAATGGATAGGAGGGAATCTGCTATTCTGATTGGTTAATTGAGAAAACTCCACTAACATAAAGATGTTATCCAAAGCTTATTGCATGCTTCATTTCATTTTCATTATCTATAATAAAAATAATTGATGTATGTATAATGACACATATTTGAACAGAAAAAGAAAACATAAGTGCATTAAAAAAAATAAAAGTATCATTCATTTATTTGATCCATGTTTTTCATATTAATCTTATATAACATATATACATATATGGAGAGAAAATTGACCTATTATGTTTTAAACTGTATATATGTGTGCTCAATCTAATTCTTATTATAATAGTTGCTTAATTAATTTAAATAAATAAATAATAATAAATGTAAATATTTTGTTTAAAACAACCATGTGTAACAACATGATCAAATATCATTTTATTAGTAAATTAGTTTGAACAAATGATAAATTTAAAATATAAAAAGGACTAAGGAAGTTTCATATTTTAAACTAAATCTAATTATCAACTAATTTTTATATTAGAGGTAGGATGAAATGATATTTTTATACCAGAGTAAAATTATGTTTTCTAATAATTTTTCACATTTGATTTTTTTTGGGCCTAAGGGGACACATTTTACAAATTGTGTTAATTTGATTATTTCATATTTTCTGTTTATGTTTTAGATAAATTGGATTCAATTATTGTAATTTTGAATTGATTTATGTGTATTTGAAATTTGTTATAAAAAAAAAAGCCTCTTAACAGGCCACAAGCCAAGTCAGGCCTGATTACATGCCAGACTCAAGTCGAATAAAAGGCTTTTCATAGGTCACAGGCCGGGCTCAGACTGAATAAAAGGCCTTTCACAGACCGCCGGCCAGGCTCAGGCCAACAAGCCTCACTACAGGTCGAGCCTGTTAAGGGTGAGGCCTGGCCTGACCTGACCTGACCTGTTTCCATCCCTAACACACACGCAAGAGAGGGACAAATGGTTATTTCATTCTTCAATTTTTATGAAGGATATAATATTTCAACGTGCAATTTTTAATCCATATCAATTTTGGAGAGTAGCTCTAGTTAACTTTAGAACAAATATTTACAAATTCAGTTTTATCTAATCTCTCAATTTTTTTTTTGGCTGCCAACTATCTAATCTCTCAATTAATGCCTTATGGAAATGGAACTCAATACCATTATTTATCCATGTGATTCACTTTAACTAGCGACAAAAAGCTTATCGTTGTTATTATTACTTTTGATAGTACATTAATGCAAACAAGCAAATTTAATAATCCTCATTTGAATCTTTACTCTCTTTGATTTAAGTCACATCTAACCATTTCATTGAGTCAAGAAAAAATGATAAATTCATTAAATGTCTCTTAAAATGAAAGAATTTTTTTAAATCTGCTCATATTTCAATCTGTCTTATTTGTCTTCTTAAAATGAAAGAATTTTTTAAAATCTGCTCATATTTCAACCTGTCTTATTTGTCTTCTTAAAATGAAAGAATTTTTTTAAATCTGCTCATGTTTCAATCTGTCTTATTTGTCTTCTTTTTCCAGATATTTGATGTGTACCACTAATAAATAAATGGGAGTATAATTGAAAAATAGTAATTAAGAAAAATAGTAATTAACAACTTTCTAAGTAACTTATACTAAAAATAAAGATTTATTGAATGGCCAAAAAATGATATGGATTTACGAGGACCAATGATGATGATGATTGCAAAACCTTCTTGTTACATCATAACGTATTCGTGTCCAATTTCTGCATTTTTTTTTGCTAAGTACAAGTATTTTTCTATATTTGTTAGAGGCACTATCGGATACTAAATATAGATACATCTTTTAACGGGGATTTAAACCTTAGTTTGTCACGTTGTGAGGAATTAATCATTTATGCTATACCTAACTCCTGCTGATTTGCACTTTTTTTTTTTGTAGACATAAGTATCCTCTTATTAGAAGCAATCCTGTTTAAGACATTATCGTGCTTTAAATGTGGGTATCTCTCTCAGAAAGAATTTGAACTTTGATTTGTCATGCTATGAGAAACTAGCTACTTTTACTAAACCTAATTTATTGGTTTGTTTGCACTTTCAATAAACATCTAAATTTTGCCGTCCCGGGGCTTTCGACCTCTGACCTAAAAGTGAAAAGGGAGGTCCCAATACACATAGTTTTTAATAGCCCAATAAAACTAACAGAAACCATTGATAAATTGGTCAATCCAACATTGAATCTTCAGAAGCAATGGGCCCTTTGTCCGCATCATCTTATAAACAGTACACAGTGATCCACACTTGAAACTGACACAAGAAGAGTTCACTTCTTGGATTGACCAATATAGATGTATGGAGCATGTAAAAAAAGCTTTGTTTTGATTTGTGTGAAAATATTGTTTTTTCTAAATGATTTCATTGGTAATCACTGCAGTAAGAATTTTCCATCTAATATAATTTCAATCGTTTAGATTTAAAATATCCAATTGATAATTTAAAAAATGATAACTAAAAAATTATTTTTATTTTAAATTTTGTATGCAACAAGATTTTTTTAAAAAAAATATAAGTAAAAAAAATTAAATCTCGCCTACCCAGATTAAATTTTCACTTACTTTTTGAATAATGTCAATTTAATTAGTATGTCAATTTAATTAGTGATTTGATAAAAGCAGTGTTAATAAACATGATAATATGGATACAAGCAGTTCTAAAATGACTTTGAAATGGAAATGTATTATTTATTCATCATTTCATATTACCTCTTGTTACTATTTTTTTAATACATGAGTTTGAAATTATTTATTTTGGAACCAGACATTTGTACTTGTAATGGTGCTGCTTACTGTAAATTTTAAATGGGTGGAAAATCGGTCACTCATTTAAACCTAATCATATATAATAACTGTAAATTACATCGTAATATTCCTAGTCTATCTCCCTGCTCGTACAAAATGAAAAAATCACTATAAGTGCCCGAGAAAGAATATGACAATTAAACAGGACAAAACTTCTTGTCATTTCTTACATTAAGACTTAGTTATATATTTTTTTAAGATCGCACAATAACCCCCCCGGGGCCAACAAAAAGGTGTCCATTGAGGATTGGAAAATATATCCCCATGCCCTCAAAAATATAATTATCTAAAAGTTCTAATAACAAGTAACACAAATCTTACTGTCACTTTTTATATTAAAATTTTTCATTGATTTATTATGAATTTGTTTATAATCACGTTAAGATGATATTGCGTTTTCTTGGGAAATAAGGGGTGTCCATTGAGGGTCAGAGAATTCTCACTACTCAGACTATCAATATAAGATGTGCATTGAAAACAACTGAAGTATAATCAACAAGCTATTAGTTAAGATGATCTTATTCCCGTAAAGAAAATACACAAGGTTAAATTCCAGTAAGTGTATTTGTTAGAAGGGTTTTAACCTTAACGTTTAGGACTTGATAAAGATTAGTCTCAAATTCAAAATGACTTGAAGATGCTCTGAATTATTTTTTAAAAAAAACAAGTGAAGCATATCTCACAATATTCTTCTTTATATTCATCATTGATTCACATTGTAATATGTCTAAGTAAGAATGCATACCCTTTAAACGACTGCTGAAAGTTTTAAAGGCAGAATATATGATTGAAAAAGGAAGATCAATATTGAGAAAAAGAAAGCATCTCTATGATTCATCTAGAGGAGAAAGCTAGTTACAAAAATTATTAAAGATAGGAAAAAGAAGAACGTAGAATCTCTTTGACCCCATAAATAATCATAGGTTTGTTTAGAATCGATTAGTGGCACCCATGACGGCCATCATCATTGGAAATCTTATGCCCCATCTTCTTTTAGCATAAAACTATAATTTCTAATAATATTGTCACAAGAATGTGAATATTTTAAAAGGTATGTAGCAGTGGCCTTTAGACGCATATAGAGCACCTTTTTCTACAAACTTTAGTGCATGGCATAACATTAATATGCTTCTCAACCCTATCAATTTGGTGTGTGCTACCTATTACCTATATGTCCATTAAGGAAAATTATTTAATTTTGCATGCATGAATTTGTTTAAAAACTAGACCCATTTTATTGTATATTATATAGAATATAAAAAAAAAGAGTTCTACTAATAGATATTTGTGAATGACACGACTTATTATAAATTTTATATTGACGATGATGATGATTATTGTTCATTAATTTTTTTTTT